GATCTTAAATCACATCATGTCACTCTGCTGTTTGAAACCTGTCAATGATTCCCTGTTGTACTTGGACTATATTTATATTCTATGCTTACTACTATTTACATGATCTTTTCCTTATACATTTCTCCAACTTCAGGTGTGCCACTCTTCTTTCTGATTCCTTACATTCTAGCATTTTAGCTACAGTGGTTTCCTCTTTGTAGTTCTTCGGAATTGTCAGACTGTTTCAGGAACACAGGCTGTTTTCTGTACTCGAAACTTGCCTCAGCCCACAGAGAGACCTTTCACCGTTTTATCTGTGGTTAGGTCTTCCGTATCCCCACACCCTAGTCTCTGCCTTAGCTTCCTTCATCACACTAGCACAGTTTATCATTATCACTGTTTTTTGGGTCTTCTGCAGTGGTATGTAAGTTGCATTAGTGCAGAACCAACACTGTGTACTGTTTGACACATCATAGGTTCTTGGTAAATTTTGGTGGCCTGATGTGCAGCATGCCATTTTACAGTCTTTATTTGGTATAGAAGTGGAAGGCATCGTTTCTGGGTGAGCACTATGTTTAAGTTGACTGGGACTTTAAATATTAAGTGGCAAATCTTGGTATTTCTGTACTCGTTAAAAAATTCGACTTGTCTGGGAAGATAGCTTTTATGTTATGTGCTATAACTTGATTGAGAGCTTACTTTGTAATTGAATTTGATGTCTAGTTCATTGTCATTGCGGATGGGAACATTTTAGTTGATGCCTGTGAGAGTTTTTCTTTAAATTTTCTGGGAAAAAAGCATTTCTCTTTTGAGTTGGAGTCTCCCTCTCACCTGGGCTGGAGTGCAGTGACCTAATCATCGCTCACCCTAACCTCGAGTTTTTGGGCTTAGGTGATCCTCCCACCTCAGCCTCCGAGACTGAGGGACTTTTAATTGTTTATTTTTTTATAGAGATGAGGTCTCGCTATGTCGTCCAGGCTTTTCTCGAACTCCTGGGCTCGAGCAATCCTCTTACCTTGGCTTCCCAAGGTGCTGGGAGTATAGGCATGAGCCACCATGTTTGGCCTGAAAAAAAACAAAACAAAACTTAAGTCTGTTTTAAATCTGTAAGTTTCCTGTCCATCTCTGTCTTGCAGTTTTCTTTAAAAATTAGAGTTATTTTTCTGTAGTTTTCCATAGATTATTATTTGCATCCTGTAGTTCATTAGCAGTTATAAAATGATATCTAATTTTGTCTTTCTTTCTTAATGTATTAGGTAGAATATTTTCCTGATCAACTAGTTGACTCTGCACAGGTTCAGTTTGTATAAGACAGGCAGGATACTTAATTTCTTTCACCTTACTTACCAGTTTTCAAAAATATGAGGTTGATTCCTCAGCATCTTCCACATGTGTGTGTCTGTGAGAAAAAGAGAGGGTGTGTGTTTCATCATGAACTCGTTGAAACATAATGAAACTCAATCTATTGTACTTACCTGGTTTTGCACAAATTATTTCATTTTCAGCCAGTGAGTCTCTTCAGTTGGCTTTCAGCTTTTTCTGATGTACCCCCTCTGTAGTCTTTTAACTTGATTTCCCATTTAGCAAGATTTCCAAAACCAACTTGTACATTTTCTGTTCTAGATCTAGAACTGGCTATTTCTTTGCAGGAGACCTGGCTCCTTTTGAAGTGTTAATGAGTCTTTAGAGACTATAATCTAGGTGCTTAGAATGCTTATTGCTGCTGGGTTAATCTCATAACTTTTTTGCAGCAAGATTATTTTTATTTCATGAAGAGTTTGATCATATTCATGCTCTTCACCTATATTTTAAATATGAACTATAATTCACATCACATAAAATCCACCCATTTAAAGTATACACTTCAGTGGTTTTTAGTATATTCATAGCATTCTGTTCTGCAAACATTACCACTATCTATTTCTAGAACATTTTCATCACCCACACATAGACCCCATGTCCATTAGCAGTCACCGCTTATTCTTCCTCACCCCAGCCACTGGCAATCACTAATCTATTTTGTGTCTCTCTGGATTTGTCTATTCTGGACATTTCACATAGATGGAATCACCCACAGTATATAGCTTTTCGTGCCCTAAGTTCTTTCACTTAGCATAATGTTTTCATCCATGCTGTATCATATATCAATATTTTACTCCTTTGTATTGTGCAATAATATTATATTGTATGCATATTTATATATACAAAGTTTACCATGTTTTATCTATTCATCGATTGTTGGACATTTGGGTTGTTTCCACTTTCAACGATTGTGAATAATGCTATTATGAACATTTATGTACAAGTTTTTATATGGACATGTGTCTTCAGTTTTTAGGAGTGGAATTGATGTGACATACAGTGACTCTGTAAAATTTTTAGTAACTCCCAAACTTTTACACAGAGGTTGCACCATTTTACATTCTCACCAGCAATTTATGAGGGTTTCACTTTCACAGTCCACTTACATTTTTGACTTTGGTTTCTTTTTTTTAATCACTGATTTTATTTATTTAAATTTTTAAATTTTAAAGGCGTGGGGTACACTTCTGGGGTACAAATGTTCATTATGCAGGTACCCTTGTTGGTGAGGTATGTCCCCTCACTCGCCTGACAGTTTCCCACTACTGTCAATTCCTTTCTTATAGTATAACAATAATTGCTCAAGGTCCACTTATGAGTGATGAGGACATTGGTTACTTTATCACTGGAGTTATAAAAAAACTGTGTAAAATATGTCAAACTTCCTTCCATTTAAGTTATTTAAGAAAACAGCTGTTTGAGTGTGTATGTGATGCTGTCATTAGATATTTTGTCCTAAAGCACACATTCCCTTTGCATAACATTAGAACAGTTTTTTAAAAATAGTTAATTCTGCAGGTGTTTATTTTTTAAAGAGTTTCCTTACAATAGCATCCAGTTCTAATAAAGTCATACCCTCAGGAATAATTTGCTTTTGCCTCTCTCTTTTTAAAATTCAACAGGTGCTGCCCTTACACATTCTTACCTTTTAACCTAAAACAGTACTTGTCTGTTACTCCCTATCACCAAACCCTGATTTATTTTCTTTGCAATGCTTACCAACTACCTAACATTAGACATCTGTTTCTTTGATTCTAGTGGGGAAGATAGTGAAATTAATTCGTTGACTTTTTGTTTACAACCGTCTCCCCAAAGTCTAGAACAGTGCCTGGCATGAAGTAGGTATTTAATAAGTATTTATCAAAATGAATGAATAAATGATATACTTTTATACTAGTTTGGATTCTTAAGCTAGGTCAAATCACAAAGATTTGGTTTTGGTTTGAAGAGCGGTAAGAATGATGACTCTGACTTGGTTCATTACTGAACCTTCTGGTTTTTCCTCATCCTTCCAGCTGCTGAAAAATGGAATACTGCAAGTCCCTGTCCTTGGGCTTCTTAGCTTCTCTGTTTATACTTGCCTCCTGCATTTGGGTTTAATGCCTTCCACACATTCATGTCTCCTACATTTATATTAATATCACTAGCCTCTGACTTCTTGATCTCCAGGCTGGTTTATCTAGCACTGTACTTGGCATCTTCATTTGGATAACTGCTAGGCATCTCAATATAACTTGTCTACAATGGAACCTCTAATTTCCTCTTTCTCCTCCCCTACCGTTTCCATGGGGTGTGGAATCCAGTTTTCTTATGGACATCCTTCATTGATAAATGGGAAGTTCTTGCTTCCAGTTGCTGAGACAAAATGCTTGACTTCAGTCTCATATTTAATTCATCAGCTCAAATTCTATAGGTAGTTTTTTCAAAGTATATTCAGAATCCGGCAACATCCTACCACTTCCGTCACTACCTTTTAAGCACTATATTGTCTCTTGCTAGGATTATTGAAAAGCCCTGTGATTGGTCTCCCTGCTTCCTCCCTTGCTCCTCACCCAATAGCCTTGGCTGTTCCCCACCCAACAGCCTGTGATTCTTTAAACTGAGTCCACTCCTCTGCTCACAGCTCCCTAACACCTCGACATGATCTGGGCCCTCTCTTACATTGTTCTTAAAGAGTTTATGTTGAATATTGAAACTCAAGCTCTCTAAATTACATTCTGAAAGTTAAGCAAACCAGAAATGTTGGCTTTGCATGGGACTAATCTGTTTAAAGAAAAGAGCTGCTCATTGACTTTTTCATTAGCCTGTCTTTGGGTTTCTGCTCCTTTTTTGTTCTTAAAAACACAGGTAAAGATATTAACACTATTTATCAGTTTTCAGAAGAGCATAGAATATGTGGATAATAAGGCAGCTTTTTCTTTTTTTTTTTTTGAGTTGGAGTCTCTGTCACCCAGACTGGAGTGCAGTGGCACGCTCCCGTTCACCACAGCCTCAACCTGCTGGGCTCCGGCGATCCTTCCGCCTCAGCCTTCCAAGTAGCCGGAATTACAGGCGTGTGCTACCATGCCTGGCTGATTTTTTTAATTTTATTGTAGAGATGAGGTCCCGCTGCCCAGGCGGGTCTCGAACCCGTAGGCTCAGGCAATCCACTCACCTCAGCCTCCCAAAGGCGCGGGATTACAGGCTGAGCCACCGATCCCGGCTATAAGGCAACTTTTTCATATTTTGCTTGCTAAGACAGTTTGATTTCTTCAGATGAGGGATCTATTTTGAATTTACAGACAACTACAAAAACATCCTGAGATTTTACAAGAGTATTGTTTTTGCATTTGCAGGTTGATTTTTAATTGTTGCTTTATTATTTTCATCCAGGTTTTACTATTTTTTGTTTGTTTTACTATCAACATTAGGAATGTTAGCCTCTGCTTGTGTGTGTGTGTGTGAAATACGTTAAGTCCAGAAGGATTTTTTACAAAGGAATTATCAAGCTTAGATTTGACTGGTGGCAATTGACTGGATGATATTCAGCTTTTTCTTGACTGACTCTGGTTAGGTTTTCAGGTGTCTGTATATATAATACCTTTTATTAGTGTATGGCCAATAAGGGGGAAAACTATTGCCAATTTTGCCCCTCCCTCCTCCTTCTTTTCTTTTTAAAGATCCCAACATAAAAGAAAGAAGAGCCTTGTCAGATACTGAAGAAAGGACGAGGATTTTTCCTCCTAATCTGGGCCTCCTGTCATGGTAAGTACAAGGAAATAACAAAGAAATTGGATCTTAAAAACTCTACTGACAATTAAGTGAACACTAATAACTTCATAGCTACTCATTTTTATTTTTGTAAGATATTATTTCACTTTTCCTTTCCCAGATCTCTCTTCTTGTCTTCGTCTTTTCTTTATTGTTTCCTTAGTAGTAGTAAGTATAGAGTACTCCAGTGTATAGAACAGTTTCATTTTTGTTAACTTTAATCCTATGAACTAGATATTATCTCTTATTTTTCAGTCAGCTAATAAATGGAATCAAGACTAAAACAGTTCTTGGACTCCAGGCTTTTTATTCTTTTCTAGGAAGTAGCATGTAGTGAAAACTTTTTCTGTGTGTTTGGTGTGGGTAGGCAGATTGTGAGATGGTCATCCACATATTCTTTCTTTATTTAAATTTTTTTATATTGGCAAAAATTGTATATATTTATTTGTACAGCATGGTTTTTGAACTATGTATACATGGTAGAATAGCTAAATCGAGCTAACATACATGTGCATTATCTCAAATAGCATATATACTGTATGAATTACCTTTCTGGATAGCAACAATTCCCTACCCTCCTTTTTCTTTCTCTTTAAGGCAATATTTTGATCCCATAGTAGTTGGAACAATTTTACACATGCTCTCCCCTGACTTTGACCAAAAAGATCATTTAATGGACATCTCAGTGACTTACGAGCCATTTAGGGCCCAGTCCAGGCAGAGAAGATAGAACAACGAGCCAACCACATTTTCATCAATCCTGAGAATATGTGAACAGTGCTTCAAGGCTTAGAAATAGTCCTCTGTAATATTGTCCTACTTCTACCTTGTGATGTTTCCTAGACACAAACTCTGTTTCATGCTAGTGCACAGAGAAGGAATTGAAAAAGCCACATTAATTTCAAGCTTCATTAGAGACATATATGGAAAGCACTTTTCAAATTAAAAACAAAGTCAAACAAAACAAAAACAGAAAAACTAGTTGTGCAGAAATGTGATATTAAAAGGAGGAGAAAGTTAAGTGCTCCCATCTTAAAACTGGGCCATTTTTTTTGGTTCGTGGACATTATAGCTTTCCGATTTATCATATATCCCAACATTAATGAACTTTTACTGTTTCTTCTTTTGACTATATTTTGTTGGTTTTCCCACAGAGTTTTTAATTAATTGAAAAAGTGCTTGCCTAATGTTTATGTCAATGCAATGAATAACAAATGATTGGCTTACAAAAACCGCCCTGTTCTGTAATAAGGGTTTGTCCTTCATTGTATATCACTTAGCTAGTAACAGTGTGATCGTCTTCTGCTGCTGGGGTCTAGCAGACATTCTTCCTGGTGTTCCCTTCTTCTGGTGCTGCAGATATGCTCTGGGGATGCCTCTGTATGCAATAGTTGGGGAGCAGCGTGGCCATATGTTCTTTTGTTTTTGTTTTCAATTTCTCATTAAGCAGCATTAGAGCAAAGTTTTACAAATTCTCATTTATAATTCTGTCACCAGAACCCATGGTTGTATTCCTTTCTAACTAGTCCATGTCATGTATACATTTTTGTAGTTAGAATTATAATATAATTAAGTTTCCATTTTGTTTATTTCACTAAGTGAATTAAACATTTTCCCGTGTTGATTCATTGGATTCCTAATGATCATTTTACTAGCTGTATAACATTTTGCAAGTTGTTGAACCATTGATTTTATTATGTACCATATGGTTTTAGCATATAGATCATATGTGTTTTTGTTCTTTGTTTTGTGTCTCTCATTATGTCACCAAGGCTGGAGTGCAGTGGCATGATTACTGCTCACCCCAACTTTGACCTCCTGGGTTCAGGTGATCCTTCTGCCTCAGCCTTCTGAGTAGCACCACTATATCCAGCTAATTTTTTTTTTTTTTTGTAGAGATGAGGTCTCACTATGTTGCCTAGGCTGATCTCAAACTCCTGGGCTCAAGCAGTACTCCCACCTTGGCCTCCCAAAGTGCTGGGATTACAGATATGAGCCGTGGTGCCTGGCCTAGATCATATGTCTTTAATCCTTAGTTTTTGTATAGTGAATTCAAGAGCATTAAACTTTTTTGTTTTTAATGTATATCTTTTTGCTAATTTGAGAGTAACATCCTCTCCTGTCTCTTATACTCTTTTTTTTTTTTGAGTTGGAGTCTCACTCCGTTGCCCAGACTGTAGTGCAGTGGCTGCTCCCGGCCACCGCAGCCTCGCTTGCTGGGCTCCGGCGATCCTTCCGCCTCAGTCTTCCGAGTAGCCGGAATTACAGACGCACACTACCACGCCCGGCTCATTTTGATTTATTGTAGAGATGAGGTTTCGCTGCCCAGGCGGGTCTCGAACCCACAGGCTGAGGCAATCCACTCACCTCAGCCTCCCAAAGGCGTGGGATTACAGGCTGAGCCACCGAGCCCGGCTTTTATACTCTTAAAAGATGTTTTTTTTTTTGAGTTGGAGTCTCACTATGTCACCCAGGCTGGAGGGCAGTGACACACTCAAGGCCACTCCAGTGTTGACCTGCTGGGTTACGGTGATCCTTCCACCTCAGTCTTCCAAGTAGCCGGAACTACAGGTGCACGCTACCATGCCTGGCTGCTTTTTGTGATTTATTGTAGAGACGAGGTCTTGCCAAGTTGCCCGGACTGGTCTCGAACCTGCAGGCTCAGACAATCCACTTGTCTTAGCCTCCCAAAGTGCTGGGATTACAGGCTGAGCCACCAAGCCCAGCCAAAGATTCTTTAATAAGATTGGAGTTTATCTTTGAAGAGGTTAAGTATTAGGAATATATGTTTTCATGTTTTATTAAGGAAAATCTCAAGCCTAGGCAAAGAGGAAAATATAGTAAAACCTCACAGACACATCATGAAGCTGCAATAATCAGCAATTAATGGCTACTCTAGCTTCATCTGACTTCTTCACCTCCACCCCCTTTGGATTATTTTGAAACAAATCCTGAACATTATATCAAGGGACATTTTTGTTTGTTTTAGTTTTAGTTTTTTTTTGAGTTGGAGTCTCACTCTTTCACCCAGGCTGGAGTGCAGTGCCACACTCACAGCCACCCTAGTGTCGACCTGCTGGACTCCAGTGATCCTTCCGCCTCAGCCTTCCAAGTAGCCGGAACTATAGGCACACACTACCACGCCCGGCTAGTTTTTGATTTATTGTAGAGACGAGGTCTCGCCAGGTTGCCTGGGCTGGTCTCAAACCCAGTTCACTCACCTCGGCCTCCCAAAGTGCTGGAATTACAGGCTGAGCCACCGAGCCTGACCGAAATGAATTTTTTAAGGCTTCTAATACCAAACTTAAGAATAGTGACTGGAATTGACAGTAGGACTGGAATTACTTTCACGTTACATTTTGCAAACAGGAGCACTAAATGTGAATTTAGTTAATAGGACTGATTGACTCGTCATATACTTTAAATATTTATCTCTAACATTGACTTCCCCTCGAGATACGTACTTACCTCTCTTCACTGCATTAGTTTAGCCAGTAACAGAAACTAGCGTGGAATTGTGGTGACTGGTCCTATTTCAGGATCTTGTAGCTGACCTGCTGACCTTATGGAGCTGGGTGGAGACTGCAAGGTGCCAAATTCCACAATGCCTGGAGTGTCCCTCAGCAATACCAGGAAATTGATGACATGGGATACATTCTCTTTAATACTAATAAATTGCTGCTTATAGCTTAGGAGAAATTTGTTTCCAAGACTCTTATCAGACCAACACTTCCCAATTTGTTTTGTCTCCTTCAACTTATTAGCATCTCAAGTTTGGCCTCCGTTTTTTTTTTAACCTATGAAGCTCACAGAAACTATAATAAGTTGGGGCTGTTAATTCAACTGCCAGATTTAAGTGTTTTATCCATGCAATGTTTTGTAGATCACTGTTTGTCTAGGAGGTCATTGAGTCCTAATGTTAGTTAAGTCCTTGGGAATTAAATGCATTTTTGTGTACAAGGGAGAAAAGTTCTAAAGCCTTACAGCTTCTGTGATTTGAGACAGTAGCTTGATTTGACCGTGAAAAATAATTATTTCATGCTCTTGCTGGCCTAATACTCAGTTCTTTTATGTTGAAAATTGTTAATTCCATTTTTAGTTTTCAGTAGCTAGTTTGGTTACATACATTGATCTGGATAAGCACCCAGGTGAGTGTACCAGCAAGAATGAATAGATAAATAGCTTCTCTTATTATTATTATTATTATTATTAATTTTTTAGAGCCTGCTACTTTATTTAAGTTCTGTGTTACAGGACAGCTGAAAACTAGGGTCAGGGAATCACTTAAAGAAATAATGGGTACCTCTGTAAAATGGCTTTAAACAGAATAAAAAGTCTGAGAAGTTATGTTAAGAGTGTACTTTTATGTAAGAATTTTTAAAGGCTTTTCTCCCCCCATGTTTTCATAATGTTTGCTATCCTCTATTGGTTTATGAGAAAAATTTCCCTAATTCAAGATTCTTTTTTTTTTCTTTTTCTTTTTCTTTTTTTTGAGTTAGAGTTTCACTTGGTTGCCCAGGCTGGAGTGTGGAGTGACATACTCACCGTTGACCCGCTGGGCTCCGGCGATCCTTCCACTTTAGCCTTCCAAGTAGCCGGAACTACAGGCACGCGCTACCGCACCCGGCTAGTTTTTGATTTATTGTGGAGACGAGGTCTTGCCAAGTTGTCTGGGTTGGTCTCGAACCCGTGGGTTCAGGCAATCCACTTGCCTCGGCCTCCCAAAGTGCTGGGATTACAGGATGAGCCACCGCGCCCAACCCTAAATTCAATATTCTTTACATCTTTTCTTGTTAGTTCTTTTAAGTATACATACTCAGTGTTTTTAAGTCAAGAACTGCCTCTTAAGAATGAAAATAGATTTTTTTTTTGGAAAGCAGGATTTATTGAGAGGACAGAAAAGCTCCCACAGTGGGAGGGGATGTGAGGGGGTTGCCCCGAAATTTTTTTTTGAAGGCTAGTACTTATGATAGAAAACTGGATTTCATTCACTG